AACGACAGCTGGATAGTAGCCGATTCAACGACGATATCGCGATTTATTATTCCAAAGATCGTCTTTGAAATATTTCGTTCGAATAATGGCCCGGTTTCTGGACGATCTTCGAACGTGCAAGTAACGAGGCGGCTGTCTCGATCGATCGACTTCCTCGGGTTCCCGGAAACAAGAAACGGGAGATCGACGCGCGTCGAGGGAAACACCGCGTGATCGGAATCGTTCGATGATTTTTAAAGTGAAACTTTGCCGCGCGAGGGACGAACAGGCACGGCAGTGTACGAAGCTCTCCAGCGTATTGGCGCACACGCGTAACACCGGCCCTTTCGATCATCCCCGTGGATTGCGCCGATGCGCGATTACGTGACTAAACGACACAACACCTATTGTAATCTATTACTCCGTACACGGTTATACTCTAACTCCATCGGATCGAATCGCCGACCAAAATCGAATCGACGGCGACGACGACAAATATTACTCGATTAATTTCCATTTTGTTTTCGCGCCATCGCTTCCTGTACGCTTCATTGTCATAATCGATTATCAACGGTTTTATTATCAACGAGTGGCAACTTAACGTACGACAACAACTATCGGTATCACTAGCTTTCGTTATAACCCGTAAACCCTCCGCGGAACCTCGTTTCGCGATTAATAACTCGATTTCTACGAGGACTTGAAACGTTCTTAATGTTCGTATAATAATCGTATCGATGATCGTTGCCGCGATCGTCGACGAAGCGATGAGGTGGCGTCGTGGCAGAAGGGTGGATCGAGGCACGTAGATTAACTTTACCCACGCCTCGGGCTTCCTTTCCGGATCGATCGTTCGCGAATCCGAACGGTGGAAGGACCGTGCGGAAAGTCTCGACGCGGAGAAAGTTTGTCGGTATCGTTTCGCGGCGCAACTCGACGCAACTGGAATATTGGTCCTGGGTGATTAATGGAAATTTCAATTTTTCAAGTTCGACGGGATTTTCGTTGAAAATGAGATCCGGGTGAAATTTCAATTTGCGCAGCACGGTTGGGTTTAACGCGCCGTTGCGGTTAATAGGCAAAGTTGTCGCGACGGTGTCTGGTCCGATGAACATACTCGCTTAACGCGAGTTTCATCGGGTCGAACCTCGGCGAAACTGAACGGTGATCTTACTCGAACTTCGATTTTTCGTTGATCCACGAATCGTTCGCGGGAATTCCGATTGGATGAAAAAACTGTTTTGTTCAGAGCGTAGTTCCGTGACCCAGTTTTTCAGGTACGTTACACGGTGTACTACGTTGCCCGATGACATTCGTGTAATAACAATAGCAACGCGTAACTCCCGACGCAGCACACGTCGGTGTTTGAAGTCTCGATTTAATCCGCGGTCGAAAAATTAATAACCGGGAATAGGAAGTCAGAGGCGCGGTCGGCGGCAAACAATGCGTTGCGTTGCGACGCGCAACAGTCGCCTTAAGCGTGCAAAACTCGCCGTTAAGGTCACCGAACCAACTCGAACTTTCTTCGTGCCATCGAAATTCATGTTTGCGGGGCGATGCAAGTCGACGTTGAAACTACACGCGGGTACTGTCGCTTCGGGAACCTGGTAAAAATCACTTTCGTTTCTCCAGTCGAGAAAAAATGGATGGAGGACAGAGTGGAGGACAAGAATCGTTTTTCGATTCTGTTTAGGGGAAATAAGTAGATATTCTCGGCGAATCCAACTCCCACGTAGAAAAGTTAATCTCTGTAGTCTGTAGTTATAAATAAAAAAAGGAAAAAGAAAGACGCGGTTTGTCGGTTCGCACAGCATTATAAAACACGTCCAACACATCGTGCACCGTTGGCAACGAGCATCGCCAACTCTCGGCGAGCGAATTGTCCTCGGCTGTGCGATTGATCTGCGGATTATCTCGGGTCGTCAACACCTTCGTTAAACCTAGACGCACATATTAAATATATTATACCGTTATCTTAACGTGAGCAAATAAATTGATTATTACACCGCCTCGCGGGGGTCTGGGCGGGTTTGTCGCGTCCTTCGACGCCAACGTGAGAAATATGACTTCCTCTCAGATGCTGTTGTGTCGGTATATACAAACGAGTCTCTCTGTGTATGGTAAGGTGTGTGTGCGCGCGCGCGCGCGCGTTTGGCGGATGAATGTGTTCGATGACGATAGTCGGCTAAGGAAAGATTCGAACGCGAGATTTCTTCGTCTTTTCGAGACCATTAATGAATGACCGAGTAATCTAGGGGAATTTGTGAGAAGCGAGGAGTGCGAAAGTGCTGGGTAGCTTTAAACACAGTCTAGAACCGTCGGTCTATCTAATTCTGTGTACGTATCTCTTCCGTAGAGAATCGTCGTGTCGCGGGTACGTCCAAACGTTGCATCATCGACGACAGACTCTGGCGCGTCGGCGTGTTCTTTCGACACTGTGTTATTCCGTCGTCTCGTAGTTTCGTTGGAATACGAAACGGTCTTTCGATCGGTGACAGGTTTTTCCTTTATCGAGCTGTCCGGTTCCATCGTCACGGTTTCGTCACAGTGATCGAGGATGATGGAAGGAGTACTCGTTGCAGCGGTAAAACGCTCCCGCGATTCGGCGATTCGAAAAGGAAATATCCGCGGAGAATGGCAGTCGATGGCAGTCCTTCGGTAGATTCTAGCGTCCGTTCCTCCGTTTCCTTTTCTCTTCTCTGTTTCAGGGGGAAAAGACACTCGAACTGTCTTGTTCCACGATGATCCACGGCGACTCGGTAACGGGGTTCGGAAGGCCCGGCAAAGTTCACCAGAGACTGAACACGGTAAATGGATTCCGAACGGAGTCGTTGTCTTCGTTCCGATAAAACCGAAATCGGCGAACCTTCTGAAAGAATGTAATCGATTTGGTCAGAACGTTTCGAGGGAAAAGCCAGCCGTGGATCGCGATAACGAAAAGAAAAGCGGGAAGCTTCGTGTCTCGTTGATGGTTTCGGCGCACCGAACGGTACGTTATCTGGCACGTCGAAACCTCCGTTTGAATCGCTCGTTACCCTGTCCCCTCGTTTCGCAACTATTCCCGATTCACCGAGGACTAATAAACCAGACCTAACCCAGACCATGTGTCCCCTAATCGCGAAGATCGGTTGGATCGTTCGTCGAAGGCAGTTTCCTTTTTGCGATGGCAGTTGTTTGCGAGCTACGACGATCCGCGCGAATCCTCGGTTTATCCTGATTTTCGTCGCGAACGCGCACCACGAACGAGTCCTCTCGTTATCCTGCGAGCCCCGCAACGTCCAAAATTTCATTCACCGTGCTATTAACTGGCTCGTTCGATCGTCGGTTCGGTGGCGATTAAATATTCTCTCCGGGACTGTGCGTCCAACCGAATGATTTGCCTTGATAATTACCGGTGAACCGTTTTCACCCGAATCCACCGTCCAGTTGGCGCAATTGCGACACGGGCAATTGAAAAAAAAAAAAAAAAAAAAAAAAAAAAAAGAAACTGTCAATGAAATTTTTGCGCTGCAATTCGATCGAATGATATCGGGGGAAAAAAACAGAAAAAAAAGAGAATGCCCTCTCGTTTTCCCACGAACCCCCCCCCCCAAGTTTCCTGACGCAATAATCGTTCCCTCGACTACTCGCTTGTTCTTTATCATCGTAAACTGTTCCTCCCCGTTCGATAAATCCTCCTTCGTCGCGCGGCACGCGAACATCTTTCCCCAATTTCTAGCGATATCCGGTGTGCTCGTTTGTGGGCGTCGCGTGTCACGTGTGGCGTAAGGCGTGCGTCGCGATGATCGCACGATCTATCGTGAATGAGAATGTACGGATGAGATATCGCGCGGTGCTCGTGCACGCTCGGATCACCCAAATATATTTACGCGCGTAACAGATACACGGCAACCCCCTATATCCTTATAATACCTATATGTACACGCGTGCAGACCGAACGGATGTCCACGCGCGTTTTTCTTTCTTTTTCTTTACTCTCCCAGTTACGTATAAATGTCGGAACGAACGCGTTCTCGTTGCGTGTACGCGCGTGTACATGCATGTATGCTCTCTGTGTCCGTGCGTGTACATGCGTATGTCGGTGTACGTGTGTGTCTCTCTCGGTCGGTGTACGCGTGTGAACGTCTTTTTTTTTTCTTTATTTATATAAAATCGGCAGTTCGGGCAGTTCGACGTCTCGCCGCACGACTCTAGCCTTACGTATGAAACCAGATTTACAAAAATACGTTGCGCGTGTGTTTCGCGTATTTGGCACTTTTTCTCCTCACTGTGGCCTTCCCTCGCACCTCCATTTTGCTCATTCAGCCTCGCTTCCCATTTCGCTCCCATTTGCTCAGTCGCTGTTACTCTCTTCCTAGCACGCAAACATCCATGCACACACACAATCTCTCCGCTCTCATCGTTCGTTCCATCTTTTTCGTTCTCTCTCGGTTTCTCTCTCGTTTATCCCCTCTCGTCTCCACAAGTTCCGCGCAATGGTTTCTAGGTAATATCCCCTAGATCGTAGGTCCATGGTTCGCAGAGGGAAAAATTCACGCCACGGATACTACTCGGAATACACCGAATTCATCGATGAGAACGTCCACCAGTCACACAAACAAATTACACGAATCCTCTTTCGTTTGGCTCGTACAACTCTCGTAAAAGTTTGTTCTCTGTTTTTTTTTCTTGTTTCGTCCAGTCTCCGGAGTTGTTCGAGAGACTTCTCGCGTTTCGCAGCAACGATCGAGAGAGGGTCTTTCTTCGCGGCAATGCGAAAATCGGCAGTTTCGATGGCGGGCGACGTCCACTGAACATCAACAATAACGACGACGACGACGACGACGACGACGACAACGACGACAACAACGGCGACGACGACGACGACGAGGACGACGACGGCGGCGACGACGACGACGACGACGACGACGACAACAACGACGACGATGACGACGACGGTAACATCGGTAACGTCGACTTTGACGACGACGGGGTAGCAGCCATCGGTATGGACGCGGCGCTAGGCCGCGCGAAATCGTCGACTAGTCCTCCTCGGGACCCATGTTCATCAGCATCATCTTCTTCTTCGCGATTTTACTGTACTTGATGTCGATCGGTTTCGTCGTGTCGTAGAGACTCGGCGCCTGAAGGATAATCAACACCGTCCCGACCACGCAAGCCACCGTGAATATCCATAGGAAAATCCGGTCGAGTACCATCGCGACGTACTTCCAGTCCTCCTCCACCTGTGAACAGAAAGCATTCGCAAATGATTCGTTAGTGACCGAATCAGCGTGTATTATCTCGTCGCGAAATTAATAATCGTTCCGCTTAAATTTAACGCTTCGAGTGGCTGCCGATCTACGTTCGTCGGTTTCGATGACCGAGATATCCAGTTGGCGCGCATCTCGCGATGTTTCCGATTAACGAGGGGAGGGTCTCGCCGTGACGGTAAAATTTCGTCTAGTAAGAACAGCAAACGATTCCCGGAAACTAAACGCTATCATAAATACGGAATTTCCGTCGACGAACCGATCATCGACCCTTGGGTCCATCGACGCACGTTTTCTTGCTTTCCTGGCCTCGTTCTCGGAATGAGAAACATTTTTCCCGAGCTTTCCTCTCTCGTCGAAGCAAAGTATCGTCTACTACGGTAACGGGATGGATCCATCGTACGTGCTCCCAATTGGTTGGCTTTATGTACGCAGCTGAAAGGCCAGTCCTATCTACGAAGTTTCAATCGAGCACCCATAGGACGTGTACACAGCGACGGTTGTCACCTTAGCTTCGTCTAGAAACAACCAACAAGAGGCAACTGATCCGTCATCTCTCGAGTGTATCGGCTTCTTTCGATTCCCTCTGCGACAAGGGTGGAAGCGAACGATAAAACAGGCACCCGATACTTTTATGATACTTCGAGAAGAACGATGCCCGGTATACCTATCGTTTCCTTTCAATTCCGTACAAGTACGCTACCATCTCTTTGCGTACGCGCATATCTGTGAGTTGTTCTCCCGAAAGGACCACCACGAAGGACTCCTTTCGAGTAAGCTGCTACGGTTTCGTCCGATGCACCGTGTCTCGTCCGTCTACCCAATTTCTTTCGATCGGGTCCGTTGCACTCGCGATGCACGATGCGAGCAGAAATTATGGAGGTCTAAAAAGTTTGTTTAATCCAGGATCACGATAGACAAAATCCTTTATCGTCAACACCTTCGTGACACCCGTTCCTGGTATCGAGCCAATCCAGTGCCACCGGAGAAAGTACGTGTGGGTTTCTCGTAACGCTCGAGGATCGTCTCTACGACGATTCTCTACAACATGCCCCACGATTCGTCTCTCTTTTTGCGCTCGTAAATACGATGGCTCGATACGAAAAAACAAACGCACGTCTCACGCTTCTGTCGATAGCTGTTAGAATGTTTTCTCGTGCGGCGTTACGAAAAGCGTTGCTATTACGGGTACAAACATGCATCTGTGAAATCAACATTGGAATCGTAACATCTCGATTTCGACGCTTGCCAGCGCGGCGAAGCGTAGGTACTGCAGCCCGAACGTTCATGAATTCCTCTCCAAGTTCCTTCCTGCTCCAGGGGGACTGTCATAGTATTTAGCGCGAGGAACTCGATGCCAAGTGGTTGTTCTTTCCTTTTTCTATGTCGAGATTTCTATCCCGTCCAGCTATCCTCCATTTTTGGCGTTTACATCTGCCGAGCTTAACACACTCGCGTCGCACCTGCTTCCCGGAAGCTGCGAGTTTGCCGACTGAACCAGCGGTCGCGTCGGCCCATGAAATCCGTTGGAAACGCTCGTTCCAACGGCGTTCGAATGGATCGCGAAACAGTTAATTCCAGGACGGTTTGCGGTCTCGTTCCCAGCCCAGTTTAATCTCTTCGGGAATACGTGCGTTTCCACCGACAACCGAAGCGTCGCAAAACTTTCCGAACGTAGTGCCGAATCGATCGGACATTCGTTTGACATTAACGTTCAGTTTCTCCTGGTTGATGCGCAGACCCACTTGCGTGTTCGGGCACATGGAAACCGTTTCGAGTTCCGTGACTCTATCCACATATAATACAGGTACAATAGAATATCGAAGCAACACGCGTGCAGTGGCGTGGACGCGTTTCGCAACTAAAGGAACTCCGCCGCGGTGCGTTTTCGGGTAGATGGTTCGTTCGTATCGATAATTCACGAACGCCGCAGCAACTTTCCGCGTCCCCGATCGTCGAGCCTACGCTCCGTTCTGGTCGAGTTTCGTTCCTCCGGAGGCAACCGGAAGTTCCCGGTTGGCGCGGCCGGCTCGCGGAAATCGAAGCATCTCCGGGGATCGTCACTCGAGATTTCCACCTCGGATAAATTGAATTTGCTCGTCGGTTACCTCGGGCTACGTTCGAGAGTGGATTCGAACCGGCCGCGAGGCGCGGCAGCTCGATCCTCGAAATAGATCGTGTCGCGTCGTCGACGTTCCCGACTTTTATCGCGATAATTAATTTTTACATTTGTATACACGTCCTTCAACATAACGATTTAACGGATTCTTCATGCCATATACCAGCGGACCTCGCATTCACACTTCTGTGCACGAAGCTCGTCATATAACAATATTATAAACACTGTACAAAAGGGCAATGACCGTTTACAAATTATAGGAGCGTTGGAAAAATGAGAGGGCCCAAGCGGGATTGGAACTCACGCCCCCCAGGTTCAAAAGCAGAAACTCTACCCACTGCTCCACGGAACCCTCCTATTTTCCAAAGATGTTATTTGCTCCTTTGCTGGGTATGAAGTTTCCGATCCCACATCATAAACACTGTACAAAAGGGCAATGCCTGTTTACATATTATAAGAGCGTTGGAAAAATGAGAGGGCCCAAGCGGGATTCGAATTCACGACCCCCGGCGCCGAAAGCAGAGATTCTACCCATTGCTCCACGGAACTCTCATATTTTCCAAAGATGTTATTAGCCTCTTTGTTGGGTATGCAGTTCCCGATCCAACAATATTAATAAATAAATAAATAAAAAATAAATTTACTGGAATCGCGAGCGGCTACGATCCCTAGTTCGAGATCGCTTCGTGCGTCGACGTCCATGAAAATTGGAGTTCGCGGAACATAAGCGATCGATCAAGTATATGCCGCAGGAAGTAACAAGACCACGAGAGTCTCACCGATCGCGTTTTCAGCACGCTGGCACCATTGACGGCGCCCTTTTTAAGCTCGAGTTTCATAAAACACGTCCGTAATATCGGAAAAGTGGAACGTGCAGCGTAATAATGGCGACGTTACTCCAAGGGCCGCCGTTACAACAAAAACGATATTCCTCGACGGTACTTTCCGAAGACAGAAGCCTTCGCCGGGCGAATTATCATATTTTCGGCTGTCGAAGTTCCCGACGAACTTCGGCTTCTCGCCGGCGAGCCAACTATAAAGTGTGCTAAAAACTACATTGGAGTTCGCAACTACCGTGATCCCCCTCGTCCCATCGAGACATGGACTTCGGCTTCCGTCAGCTGCTCGTACTCCGGCAAAGTTCTTCGTCGAAATATCAGGTAAGAACAGGCCGGACAAATCGCGCGATTCTTTGTCCATCGTTGTCGTAACGTCGAGTCGCAGGAACAGTCTGATCTTTTCCGATCGTACGCTTCGGGTTGGTCGAAATTTCGCGAAGGTCTTCTCGAGCGTCGAATAAACTCGAACCGAGCCCACGGAAAAGTGTGTCACGCCGCTCGTTCCGCGCAAATATCGAACAGGAAGCATAAATTCGTTCGAATTTACGGCGGTCCCGGACGAATGTCTCAACTTCGGAATTCCCAGAGCAAGGTGAACGTCACCGTCTGAACCAATTTCCGGAGTTTTACATCAGCCGGAGCCCGGCCGAACTTGAAGGTAAAGTCGACTGTCTGTGTGAAAACTTTCGGCAAACACACACGGAACGAACAATGTGCTTGTAGGTACTTTTTCCGAAATTTCCGCGAAATTATCGATCGGTGAAACCCTGAAGCTTCGCGGTGGTTATTCAGTAGAGTAATCCGTCGTAAGTCAGACGCGTCTTCTCTCTTCGAACGGATCGCGTAATTTTCATGATCGAAGAGATTAACGATAAGTACCGAAGCCAAAACATGGCGTGTAATTCGTAGCTGTGTATCGACCAGCTTATCGAGTCTCCTCCGTCCGTATTCCTCTCGGTCGAACACAAACATGGACGTGACACGAGCGGGGGTCGTTGCGCAAAGTTAATGCGGAGACTGGAGCCGGTTAACTCGCCTATTCACGGAGCCAGGACACGAGGCGAAAGCGTGCCGACGACGGTAAAGGCGTTTGCCCAACTAATAATACGGTAAACGGTCTTCCATCGCGTTTCAAAAAAGTCACCGTCCTTTTGTCTTTATCAGCCGTGCGCCGTGTGTAGACGTTCCTTTTCTCCTTCGGCGACGAACGCGTGCAGAGCTTGCAGAGCGGCGGGAAACTCCGTCGCGTTTTCGCTCCTTCGGACCGGATCTCGTCCGAGGGGAATCGTGATTTTAATTAAAACCGTTGTCACGTTAAAGCGTTCAGGGGTGGGGTGGAGGCGTCCTGGGACACGCTCATTGAATTCAAATGCACGCGATTGATTTCGAACGGAGGTGAAATGAAAAATGACTGTCCGGCAGAAACGGTAACGACCGGTTATGCGGCTTGATGTGGCCATCGTGTGTACACCCTGACGGGATTGATTCGTGAAACGAGATGTGCGCGTAGTTCATGATGTTCGTCAGTGAAATCCCTGTTGGATTTTCCCGACTAATGTTCGCGATGAAATCGATTTCGTCTCTTTGTCGCCCTTAAACGCGAAACCCGAATTCGTACCTTCGATTTCTTTCTTCGTTATTCGACGTTTGCCTAATCAACAGATTCTTGGCTTCGGTCGACCCCTTCCGGAAGACAGAGATTCGATCCAACGGACAAGAAATTGCCAAAATCGAATGGCGACGGACAATCGGAAACGAAGCTATTAACAGCAATCGGATCTCGAGGCGCTTACGGCTGATTAATACGATCCGATACTACTGCCGGCGCGGTCTCGGTTCCTACAGCTGATTCGTTATAATTTGCTTTCGCTGACCCGAGCGTGCCCGAGCGTATCCGCCGCTCGTAATCACAGCTCGCGCGCGCTCGATCCACCGTGATTTGCACGGTCCATTACCGATCCCGCGACGTGGATTACTCGTGAAGATTAAAGAGCGTTCTTTCGATCGAACGAACCCTCTGATCAATATAATCCCTCGGCCTTCTTCCACTTGATATTCTTTCACCGTCGCGAACCGAACACGCTGTTATCGTTATTGCAGCAGGACCGTTATCTACCTTTCGAAATGGAATATTGCTTTCGGACGGGACTCTTTTTCGTTCGATTTTGCAGTACGCTTTCCAGACGGTTTCTCTCGAATCGATCTTTGCGCGCACTCGCGTCACGATAATGCAAACAGCTTCGTGTTTACCTTGATCCATCGTAACCGTAATGATCGCGGAAGATCCGCGTTACAGTAACCTCGGGGGTAGCTCGGTGATTTCTGTAGGTTCGGTGTTATGTCCCGAGGTATGGAGGAAGGGTTAAAGACTATGATGTCTGCAATACACTTACTAACTATTTATTAATATTTGATAAATGTACATTGTACACTTTATAAATGTACTCGAACCTAATGCGTCGTTTTGCACCACCTACGTGGCACGGTATAAGAATACCGAACAGTTGAATTAAAATGTTGGCTCGTATCAAAGAGGGTGTACCTGGAATTTACCGAGTCAAACCGATCGAAGGATCATTACGGTGGTACCGTGGGAATCGTTTGCCAATGAACACGGTTAGTCGAAAACATTTGAGAAACTAATTCGAGGCAGCTACTCGTATATAATTGTGTATGTAACAGGTAAATGACAGAGGAGAGATTTTCCGTCTACTCACGCTCTCGAATTTGTCCTTGTTCTTGGCGTGCTGAGCGATGAACCTGGCGTCGTCGACGGTCTTCTCGATCTCGCAGACCAACGGCTTCTCGAATGTCGGACTGACGTCCTCGTGAACGTAAGCGGGGCTGGCCGGTCCGAAGAGGTCGTCGTCAGCCCCGGGCAGTGGAAGCGCGGGCAGGGGCTCGTCGAAACAGGGGGCGACCGGTCCCACGTTGGCCACGGCTCCGAGATCGTACCTGGTCGCCGATGGGGGCAGCCCGTGGCCGGGTATCTCGTAATCCCCGCTGAACCTTTTCCCGTAGTACGCGTCGTACTTGTCAGTCTCTTGTACATGGAACACATCGGTGAGCATGCCCTCGGTCGGTTTACCGTTCGCCGCCTCGACGTCGTCGTCCTCGTCGTCCTCGTCCTCGTCGTCGTCCTCGTCGTCGTCGTCGTCGATTGGCTCGCCGTTCGCATTCACGCGGATCACACCGATCCCGCCGTTCCTCCCATCCTCGTCGTCCGCGTCGTCGTCGTCGTTGTCGTCGTCGTCCTTGCTCGGTCTTTCGATGAAAAGGAATCGCGGCAACACTTGAATGAACACGACCCGCACCCAGTTGGCCATACGATGGGTGACGGGCGAGCGAAAGTTCACGTTCAGCACAGCGATCGTCACCACCACGGATAGCGTCACCAGTACCATCGTGAACAACAGATACTTGCCGAGCAACGGCACCGTCAACGACGTGGGCGGTATGATCTCGGCCAGCAGTAGAAAGAACACGGTCAACGACAGCAGGATCGAGATCGACAATGAGACTTTCTCGCCGCTGTCGCTCGGCAGATAGAACACAAGCACCGAGAGGATAGATATACCCACGCACGGTATGATCAGGTTCACCGTGTAGAAGAGGGTTTTGCGGCGTAAAGTGATATTGAACACGATATCCGGGTAGGGCTCCTCGCAGCATATGTAGAACGCCTCGTTCCTCACGGCAGGCACTTTTATGATGTCCCACTCGACGGAAATGTAGTAGTCGGTCAGGTCGATGCCGACTTCGATACGGTTCGACTCCTCGGTCTGGAGCAGGTGCCGTAAGTCGACCTGCGAACATGTTTTTGATCGTGCTTTTATCCCCCAATTCCTCTATTACTTAGCCTAGTTCGTTCGTTCAGTCGTTAGCTTCTCTTTTGTTTTTCTCAATTTAAAACAAATTATTCGGTCAACAGAATCAATCGGTCGTTGATTCCGCCGTCTTGGATTCATAAAAGTGCCGGAAAAATTTGGGAATTTATGGGACATTTAGTGACGCCCCCGCCACTTTGGTAGCGAAAATTGGAATTAATTCTGAAACTCTTTTTAAGCAGCGCCATCTGGTGGCGTCTTTGCGAACTATCGACGAAGTTCTGGAATTAGTTCCAATTTCCGCCACCAACTGGTGGTGGCGCCACAAATTTTAACAAAAATTCCCAATTTTTCCCGCGCTTTTTCAAATTCCGCGTTAAATTAAACTTAAAATTTATTTCAATGCAATTTTAAGTACGTTTACCAATTACTATTTATTTATTTATGGAAAATATGAGATACTCGTAGTGATAGGCTTAACAAACAACGCATATGTACGACTTAACTATTTTTTATTGAAAAAATCTGATGAAAATACATAATTTACAATAGTATTTGAATAAATTTCACAACAATTGACTTAAATACTACTTATATATATATATATATACGAGTTTACAATATAGTTGTAACAATATGTGCATAAATTCAGTAAAACATGGCTTAAATATTATTCAAACTTATAACGATAAAAATAACCCCCTCTTCTGTAACTTGTAAATCTTCTGTACGATGTTCAAAGCTTCGTATGGAATAGTTTCATACATTTGTCGTCGAAATTTTCATTCTTGGTGAGATTCGATAGATGTCGTACTCCTGTGGAGGGGTTGCGAAGCAGGACACATCACGAGTCACGAGTCATGATTCACGACATATTTGTGCGTGAAGTAAATGATAGATACGCGCTCTCATTCGCACATTTTACCAACCACTGCCATATGCCCGTATTGGCGGACACTGAGTTGCCCATCACCGATACGCACAAATGTTATCTTGTCGCGCTGTTCGATCAAGGTTCAATCTCGGACGGAACCGAACAGAAATCCAAAGAGAGGTAGAACGACGACGAAAGGACGACCGTACGCGGAGAATAGTCATCGTCTGATTTTTCAACGACCAAAGACGATGATTGCTGAACTGCCGTGCCCTGATTCCGGAATTCGGTAACTCGATTCCGAAATTCTTGGAGCATCCTCTAGAACCGTACGAGAACTTTTCGAACTTTCCTGCGCGATTCTCCGCCTGTCCGATTTCGTTCCCACCCGCGCTACGGCGGATCCAATTGTTCAACGAAAAGAAAACCGAGGCGATGGAGGGGTCAACGAAGAAGGGTCGAAGAGAAAGAGGCGAGAAAAGAGGTCGAACCGAGGGACCGAAAGGAATTGGATACCTGCCTCTAATGGGTGGTGGGGAAGATAGGTTGGGTATAGTTATCTAGTGATGTAGGTAGATAGGTAGGTAGATAGGTAGCTAGGTAGCGGATCCTCCGGAACCCATCGGAATCTGAGAACGGGAATAAACTCCGAAAAGTGGAGCGAAATCTCTCTTCCATCCAAGTTCCACCACTCGCGGCATGTGCACCTTGATTCCCACTGGACCGTTCCTAAAGCAGGCCATACACCTGGGCCTCGAGGGACCCAGCTCCCCTTACGGGGGAGTAGCTCACCTCGTGAGGCCAGGCCTCGAGGTAAACCTCACCTGCTTAAGATCTTTCGATAGGTTCGCGGGCAGAACACAGGACGCGTTAACCTCACTTCGTTTCTTCGTTTCGGCCACCGATGCTTCCGTCTCCTGTGTGTGTGTCTGTTCTGCTTTCTGGCGACTGGACGAGTAAGCTTGCCCAACTTGGTCCCTGTCGGGCAACGCGAAACGATAACAACCGTCATCCGTGACAAGCAATGTCCTCGTAGAAACGAGGAGAATCGTCCCGACGATTATCCTCGGTCTTCCGTAGAATTTGTTCAGCCAGGATCGACCGTCTTGAAGGAAACAAGGGAACCGATGCCATCGATATGTCCAAGTAGGTCGAGCTTCTCTACTCGATGTCCTGTGCACTTCCCTTGTCGGGGGGGGGGGGGAATCGACGGATAAACTGATTGCGAGTAACGAGCTACGGCCGAGCGTGTCGGAGACTGCGATACGAATGAAAATAACGACGCGAAGAAGAGCGAAGTGCCTACTTTAAAACAGCATTCTCGCGCCGTCGGTATTCTACCGACCACCAAACTTGTTCCCAGAATTTTAATACATGAAATACTTCGTCTTGAAACGGAGAATAATTCAAAATTGAAGAGGAAAGAGAACGGTCGACTACCGCACGTGGAGCATAGGAACGGTTTCGTTTATCGACCAGACGCGGGATTTATTCCCACAATGGTTGCTCGGTGGTGAGATCCACGGACAGGTGGATTTGTCGAGAAAGGATAAATCTGTCCGTCGCGTCCGGCAGGAAAGTCCTACGGTCACCGGGACTGAGAACGGAACGGCGAAAAGGATTTCGAAGAGACCGAAACCGTTGCGATCCATTCCATCGTCGCCGAATTATTTTTCCCCTCTCGTATTTCACGGCGACAATGAGGAAGGAAGTATCGAAAATCACTTGCGCATCTATCCGGAGAGAATACCTCGGGGTTCGGTGGTCGAGTAGAAGATGTATCTAGGAATATTTCCGAGACAAGAAGAGGAACGACGTTTTATCGAAAGTTCGGGGATATCGGCTTACGTTTCGTTGAAATATACGTACATGTACGTATTATAGATCGAGAATCGTAACGAATAGAAAGCAAAAACAATTGAGTCCCGAGACACTCGCATTCGTCAGCTTCTGGGAAATGTTTCGTCAGAGTACGTTAAATGGGACGGGGAACGCTCGAGGAGACTATTCGAAAACGGCGCCGATGGATCATGACGTTTCGTCGATGTCTGCCACCGTGCACCACCGATATCGAGGGATTTTGCGTCTAGACGAGCGAGCAAGGGCGTGAAATATTTCGCGCGGGACAAACGCGGCTCGATCCTGGCTAAGAGATGTTTAAGACCGTGAAACATACTCGAACGGAGAACGGGATCGATCGAAACGGATTTTGTTCTATATATTAGGTCAAATCGTTAATAACTTCCGTTCTGGTTTTCTAAAATGTCGATTCGTGGCATTTTAATAATAAATATTAATTCATGTAACATCCCCCATTACCTCTAAACATAATTATCGATGATCAGTTTGACTCTAATCCTATGACCATTGCTATTCAACCGTTATTTAATAATTGTTTCAGTGTTCACGACGGAAGGTACTTGTGAATCGACCTAATACATATGTACACTAAAAACCAAATAAGACCATAACTGCGAAATGACGAATTTCGGTCTTGTTTCCGGATATTCCTCTCGGTTACCTTAGTTACCAACGTCTTAAACAATTGAGCATCATTATGTAGGATAGGGTGTTGTGCGTGCCTGCGGTCGCTAGAGTAAGTCGAGTGTTTTGTATGAACGATGAATGCCTGGAACTGAGCGGATGTTTAGTCTAATAGATATCGATGTTGGCACCGAATGTCTGTAGACTGCGTCGTGGAAATTTGGGCGCCTTGCACTCTGTGTGCCTGTGTGTGTGTGTGAGTGTGGGTAACCCTTGTGAGGGATATGGTTGGGACCTCGAGGCAGTCGAGTGGTGAGAACGCGCTAAGAGAGTCGACTGGTGTGATTGCGAGCAGAATCGTGTAGAAACTAATTCAGTACGTTAAGCTATTAGTGTGTTGTGTGTTATTTTATATCATTTTACTATTCCTTTATCTTCTTTAATAAACTATATATTTATCTACTGGAAATCCTATTTAATTTCCTACATTCATAAGTATTCATATATCGAGAAATACTTCATTATGTCACCCGGTGTATGACAAATTCTATCGCCCATGTTACAGAGAGACCTCTGGTGCTCATCCCAGCTGCGCGAAGCAGTTATGGTCTTATTTGGTTTTTAATGTACATATCAAACTCTTCGACGATCTACCGTTTTTCTGGGATTTTCGCTAATCTGACAATCACCGTCAAACTTCGAAGGCTCTTTCAGTATTGAACATGGACATACTAGAGAGAAAGAGAGAAGGAGAGAATTGACGAGTTATTCAATATTCCCGAAATTCGACGTTATCCATCGGGAACAAAAGAACGAAGCGAATTGACATTTAATTGCGTCGCCGAACGAAGTAAGCGGATTTGAAACAGCCGCAAAAATACCCATAGCCAGACGCGTATGAATATATAACGTCTTGTAAAGCGCCCTCGGCACCGAAGAAATATTCCTGTCGCGTGCAATTTAGCGAAAGAACGGCGACCGGTTAAGTAATTCATCGAAGATTTGCGGTGGCTCTGCAGCGACATGAATTATTCCATAGAACGGAACGTATAGCGTTCGAATGCTTTAGAATCCAGATGCTCGAGGGATTCGTAACGGCGGGGCAGTCGAGAAATGAAAGCGAAACACCGGGGAATAGAACCGTCAACGTAACTTCTAACGTAATAAATTGTTTAGACGCGGGGCATGAAAAGTTAAAGTAACGTTTTTCCCCGGTCGCGTGTTCGCTTTCGCGCGTTCACGCTTCCGCTCGCACGCGGATACTTTAAACAGGAATTTCGCGGGGCCCGCATCCCCGGCCTCGTTCATATTCCAGGCGATGAGTTTATAGCCCAACGGAAAATGCACCTGTCGATTCGAGCTGCGTATCTTGATGGTCCGTCGTTGCCCACGCCCGAAATACCGGGTTGAACGTCGATCGGCGAATGAACCGAATCAGAGTGGAACAGACAATTTACTGCTACGCTGATCTCTGAGATTTAAACTAATTCGATTGGTCGTATACCGATTGGTCTTGTTCGAGTTTGACGACCGTACGAACATTGGGAATTCATGAAGAATTTTCTTATTTCTCGGACGAAATTGAAGCAGAGTCGAGCGTGACCGAATTTATAGCGTGATCGGTCTCTCAAGGAATACTGTATTAGGATCGTAATAATATGGCCCGATTCAAAACGCGGGCCCCCCCCCCCCCCCCCCTCCCAAGGAATATGCGAACCGTTGACGAATCGTTATAGGATTCGCGTCGTCGTTGGTCGCTCGAACTGGCTGAAACTTTCCGATTGAACGAAAATCGAACACGTACACGCACGACGCGACACCGAGTGATTCCGAAAATTTCCTTTTAATCGGAATCAAAGCTAGATCGAAGCGTGTGATTCCTGTATAATTCAGACGACGCCACGAGCAACACCGATTCCCGTCACGAAATCGTAACTTTTCCAAGATCGCTCCCGTGAACAGTTTTCACGAGTAACGGCGAGGGAATGAAAGGAGGGATGAAACGGGGAAACGAAATATAAGTGTAATAAATCTACCGGGCACGAGGAAGTACGCGCAGTTTGACAGAAACGGAAAACTGCATCTCAGAAAGAACGAGGTCTGCGTTCCATTGATGCGTTTTCGCATATCTTGGCCGCATTCTAACTCTGTGCACGAGTTGAACCGCTTCCTTCTCGGTTTTCTTTATTCCCGTGCTCTGTCCAAGCAGACGCGACGTCTAATGCAACGGAATTTCTTGATTTTCCACAGTTTTCTCTCTCGAGAACGAGTCTTCTCGTACGCGAAACCCGTTTCGGCCACAATTCCTTCGCCCCTCTTACGCCCGTCTTATTAGAAGTTGCGATCTCTAGAGCGGGACGTTGTCACCGTCGAAATAAAACTATCGATTCGACGAAACGATAGATCGAAAATACACAAAGCTGCCACGAGGTTGCGTTCAATTGTAGTAAAGTCATTTCCGATAGTTGTAATGAAATTTTTTTAGAGTTACATCCGCGGCGCGTAAATAATATCGTTGTTTTGGAATCCAACGTATTGGAAATAGAAGACAAATAAGATTTTTATTTAGCGTAAAGTTTTACGTCAGCCGTAAGCTGTAAACACGTGTACCGGGTTTACGGAGTACGCGTCGCGTAAAACTTTTCGCGTGAAACGTTTAACGCAAGAGAAGACTGGAATTTCGATGGGTTGTTGGCTCGATTTTACGGCGATCATGTCGCGTTGTCGTGCTAGGCGACGAAAATAAAAACCTTGTAAAAAAGCACGCGTGCGTGTAGGCATGTATGTACAAACCGCGAGAAAGATGTATCGGATGCGGTACATATAAATGGACGGTCGATGTTCCGGTGATTTTGATTTATCCGTACCAGTGTATGTTCTTTAAACGCGACTTGTTCGACCGGCGATAGCTCTGTCGGCGTTTTAAAAGAGTCGACATATCGGGTATCGAACGTCGTACTTACGATTTTCGTAAATAAAATTTTAGGAACTTTCCTGGACCAATGATTCTTGGGGAAGTTTGTGTCCGTTTGAATCCGGGAATTTCATCGTTATAACGACCGAATCGTCTAATGATCGTACTACGATCGTAAGTACGACGGCGAGGTCCTACGATGCGTGTCGCGCTCGGCTGAATCTCTTGACGATGATTAATCACCATCGCGAACAAGATTGTTAGTGGAATCTTATTACTCACCGTGTACCCGTCGTATGTCCACGAACCAAACTTCATGAAGCAAGTCTGCTCGTCAAAGGGAAAGTACTCCACGTTGATCTCGCAGAATGATTTATAGATCGCCGGCGGTTTCCACACGACCTTCCCCGTATGGTGCAAAATCGCCTTTGTCATAATGGTCACCTCGTAGTTGCCATCGGCGCTGAAAACAAAATTAACGTCCAGCCTGATTTATGTTTCCTCCTTCTCCCGGCTTTCGTTCCGGAATAATTTCGTTTCCGCCTAACGATCGATCGTTCCCGAAATTTCGGCCGTATTTTTCTTCAAAACAACCACTAACGATCACGAGAGACTCTGCGCGTAAGGAAGGTGCCTTGAGACGATCCCAAGTATCGAGACCACGCTGTTGTATTATGTATATGTATTTGGAAACGCTCCGAGGAAACGCGTAGTCGCCGGGCAGAAGTTTGATGGCGCGTTAAAGCACGAAGCGGAACGAAACGACGCGACGCCGAAGATAAGAGATAAGAAAATTCTCGAAATATACAATAGCGGTAAGCAGGAAAACGCACGCTCCAGATACTGCGAACGACGTGACGCGACGCTGGGAAAACAGAGCTCGAGACTCTACATTACTCTAGAGGAATAAACTCGGTGGGATAATGCGGCAGGATTTCTAATATGATACGCGCGGCTGCAGCTGCAACTGCAGCTGTCGTTGCTGCGGTACTACACTTGTTGCGCTATTTTCGCTTCACCGTTCTCCTTTATTAGCGCCGGTGTCCTCGATTGTCGTCGCGTCTTGTCGTTTTCGTGTTTCATTTCGAAGCTGATATTGTAAGGTCCGTCAACTAGTGGATTAAAAAAGTAATTTAAAAAACTTCGCGGATCAATTCCTTACCCGATTTCAGCGTTTAGACGGGGAAATAAACGCGGTGGTTATTGTTTGAAACAAAAGTAAACGTCGCGACGAGGTGTTAAACTGCGACGCTAGTTAGCCGACGCAGCGCAATGGCCTGGAACAATATTGTAGGGATAAAAGTCTGAATCCTATTCTCACAATTGTTATATCTTATTATACCTCATTGTTACACCATTGTATTTATGTGCTGTAACGTTTCGAACAAAATATTGTAAAAATGGGTCCTTACCCGTATGAATTAAATTAAATTACGTTAAATTAAAATTAAAATGGTGGTTGTATTTGATAGAAGTAAAAGGTTTAAGGGCAAAATATGTAATATAAAAATCACTGCTTGAAGACTCTGGATCTTATGACACTCGTTCTCTGAATGATTTCCCTCTTATATCCTCTGTCATACACAGTTATGCTCGGTCAAGGTTCATACACGCATTTACCACTGATCTGTATATACGAATACGGGATGGGGGTTTCTAAGCATAGCATGGGTTGCTGCATTTTGAAGGTACGCCATCTTGGAGAACAAATCTCCTTCGTCGCCTACATAGATTAACGGTAACTAATGCTTTCCAAGTCAGATGTATGCTTCCTCGTATAATTAGTAGAGTAATACAAAGTATGTATGTACAGTAAAACCTGTTTTTGTGCGGTCCTTTTTTATGCGATTTGTTTTGTGCGATTTTATTTTTGTGCGATTTTTTTTTATGCGGTATATGAATTTCAACGGCGTTGGCATTACTGTAATGTTTTCTATCAGTGTATATATAAATATACACTTCAAGAGGCTCTGTTCATTTGGTTTAAACAGTTTCCCGACAATGTACATTCAATTATTTTCGCTCGACGCGCTAGCAGCATACGCTTCGTATTCCGAGTTTTATCCACGACTCACGTGATTAAGGATTCATTTTATAGTGAGATTAAAGGTAAATAAATTAATTACTTTTGTTTCTATTTGTATATAGTTTTTATGATTTTCATTTTATTTTTAAACATATGTACTCCCTTAAAATGAATAATTGTAGCCAAAAAAAAGTGAAAAGAAAGACAATTCCATTAGAAACAAAAAATCTAATATTAAATAGACTAGCAGATGGTGAACCAATTCATCACAAGAAGATGCGCGTTAAGGATTACGACGACTAGCAGTGAATTATGTAATGTGCATTTTGAAAACTTCTCCATGTATACAATGAAAAATTAAATGTTTTTATAATGTGTAATTTAATTATTTATTTTGTTTGGAAGCACTTTCTCATGTATTTCGTAAATAATTGACGTATTTTCTAAGTGCGACTTTTTTTATGCGGTCCCTCTCCGCCGCATAAAAAAAAATTTCTGTAGTATGTCGTACAAAGTTGTTTATTATATGTAGTATTTATGAAATTTCCGAATATTTTTTTGTGCGGTTTCTTTTATGCGGTCCCTATCTACCGCATAAAAACAGGTTTTACTGTACTTATTTGTTGCGTATAAAGAACATAAGGTGTGAACGATAAATCAGTCAGAAATTTAAATGAGACAAGTACTGATAGTATATAGTATACTATAATACAATGTGAATAGGTATACACGTGAATGGAAAGCGTTAGTTACCGTTAATCTATATAGGCGGCGAAGTTGCTTTGTTCTCAAAGATGGCGTACCTTCAAAATACAGCAACCCCGTATACCCCATCCCTTATCCATATATACAGATCAGTGGCATTCACCCATTCTTACCACGTGTCGATTTTCGGTCACGACGTCACAACGCAGTCCCTTTCGTTCGATCTTATCTCTCGATAAGATCATCAGAAGCGAAATCCTCTCTCGCTCGATCTAAACTGAACACGCAAAATTCACCCTACAATATCGAACACGATTGCTTCCGTCGCGCCGCGCGTAGTGGCGTAACGAAACACGTTCGATAAATTCTCCGGCGAGAAAGAGATTCGAATAGCGTGCAGAATATGGAAAATCAGTGGGAAAACCGCGTTTGAATCTTAATACGTGACGGATTTCGAACAGGGGACGTCGGTTTCAGGTGTGCGTGCGCGAGAATGAATGCGAACGCTGCTGGGAATTGAGGTTGCACACCCGTGCAACGCGAAAAAAAGTACCGCGATTTTTTATTTTTTTTTTTTAATCGTAGTAAAGTGTACGACAGCCTGAAAAATGTATACGGGCATGTAACGGGATGTAAACGAATTGTTCCGTTACACGCCGATAACGTTATTTTCTTCCCCATTTCTATCGATCGCGACTTCTTCGTCCCCCTGGCAGGTACAGAACAAAGCGCGCGAAGGAAACGATGCGTTTTGAAATGAAATCGTTTAATTGAAAATTATTTATCTTAAAAGCTGTGTTTTCAATGAAAACCGTTTCAAGTCAGGTCGCGCGAAAAAGAAACCAGTAAGAATTCGGTTGGGACCGTCTACGGTCTTGAATTGATCCAGACTGAACGCATCGTATGTTGTGTGCATCAGTTTATACCGCGAGGCTCCGTTGTAATCCGCTTTGAAGACGCGTACAAGCGGATTTCCAGCGTGGCGTTTAACATCAACCGGGGTAACTGACTGTCGCGCAGGGGTGTGTTTGCAACAAAAGTTCTCTATCGAATGGACCTTCCATAGCCTGGCCCTGTACCGACCGTCGGTAATCAGGTTACGCCGAACCTGGCCGAGTTAATGCGAGTCTCCTGCACTTTGCGGACAGCCGATAATTGTATTTCTGTTGTCGTGGATCGTTCGGGCCGCGAACTTGGGAAAAACAGCCACGCCCGTTTGCCGTCCATCGAGTTCGACGCGATGAAATTTCAATTTTCGTATCTTTTTCATCGAACAACTTTTAAGCTGGTACATCGAGAATAAAGAGCCGAATCCGTTGTGCAATCGGTCTCCGAGGTCTGTCTGACCGGTAACCGATGTTTTCTACGGTTTCGACCATGTTCCACGATAGATCGACGAAGACATTCGACCGCAGGCCATACGCTACGACGACGACCAATCGTGCGAACGGTGAACGCGGTTCATTATCCTTATCGATTCGATCGTGATCCGTGTATGGATAGGTCCGGCAATGCGCCACAAACGACGATTATAGGCCTAAATGGTGAAGGGAAGCGTCCTAATACGCATAAGCACGGCTCGATACTCGATACACCGAGAATTAGGAAGGCGCGCGCGAGCGCACCATTCGTCCCAGCTTAACCGTACGAAATTGCTCGCGGCGGTAACCGGAAGTCGATGTTCGTAGACTCTCACCGTGGACCAGACGCGGAACGGCGACGCGGCAAGAAGAACAATGCGTGGTCCGGGTAATAATTTCGTGGCGACAAGCCTTCGGGCTGACGTTTTAAACGGACCGTGTCTCCGGTTGAAGTGTGTCCGTGTATCCAGTGCTTTATTTCCAGAGTCGGTTATCACCCGAAGCCGCTGTTTTCGTGTGAACTTCGAGACGAAATTCTCACTCGAGCCATGGTTAATAGACGCGACGGAGATGCGATGAAATTTATTTACCGAAAGATTTATTCTCCGATGGTGCCAAGTTAATTCGATTCGGCCGAGAAAAGATTGAACATTCGCTTTTCGGTAGCGAAATCACGATGGGACAAGGACTATCAGGTAGTTCGGAGACAGTACCGTAGCAAGCCTAATAATTGTCGAGTGCAAGCAAAGTTCGGCCGCGACGAGATAACGAAGCACAGGATCCCCGGAAGACGCGCCAAAGAACTTTCGGTTCTCTCGATTAATCATGCCTTTTTTCGAGTAGACAGCAGCAGCGTCCGGCGTGACAGTTCTTGCGAGCAGACGCCGCGTAAATCTTCAAAGTTTGATGTCCCTTTTAAGCGTGCTTGTCTACTCGACCGACATCGAATCTCGCGGGGAAAAAAGTACATTGTCTTCTCGTAGATCTCGTCGGGGACATTCAATTTTTCGCAAACCCCCGTCCCATTTCGCTGTTTTCCCTTTATTATCCGAGTCCAGAAAAAGAGAAAAAGAGTAAGAGAGAGAGAGAGGAGAGGGGGGGGGGCAGTGCGAGAAGTCGCATCAAGAGTCAATGTAAACACTGCTGACATAACAAGCGTATATGTACAGTCCCTCGTACCGCGCTCAATTGAAGCTAGAAGGCGCATTTTTCAACGATAACAGGTATAATGGAATAAATAATTTTCCGCTGGTAGACGAAACCGGAGAATCTCTAGTTGGAGCACATTTTCCGCGTTTCGCTCGAAAGAATTCCTTCGCTGCTTCCATTCCCCATGGCTGGAGTTCGCGCGTATCGTCCGAGGGAATTCCC